TTCACAGCTCTCTAAGCCAAAAGACGCATCCAGCAGTTTGTTTATTAAGGCATCAGGCCCAAACAACTCGATAATTCATTCACAGCTGACAACGATGTCCCAATACTGTCATAGCCATTGGAGACAATAATTCACCTAAATTGAAAAGGAAAATAAATCCCCCATTTTTACTGCACTCCTCACGGATTTCAGGGACCCAGTGACGGGAAGCGTGCCTGCGGACAAGGTGGGCCCCGAAGCGGCAAGACCCTCTCATGTCCTGTTGCACGTGGCTTTTCAGACTGCTCTTGCTTTTCACCAAAGTCCCCAAACAAAACCCATTGCCATTGAGTTGATTCTGACTTACAGCAACCCTGTAGGACAGAGTAGGACCGCCCAGGGGCCTTCAAGGGCCGAGGAAGCCAAGGCCACATCGTTCTCCTCTCAAGGGGCTGGTGGTTCCAAACTGCTGACTTTTCGATTAACAAGCCCTGGCGTCATTTAAGCTCTGTACCAACAGGGGCTCTTTTTTATCCTAGCCACTGACAAAATCCAGCCCCCCACAGATAACGATGTCTTTGCTAGGACTGGTCCAGGACTGATGCGGAAACAGAACCACCTGGAACTAGTGGATGTCCCAGGTGACCCTTAACATTTCATGTTTTCCACTAAGTGCATGAGTGGGCTGTAGCTCCTGGGGATGAACTCCAAGGTGAGCTTCTGGATGGGTCCACGAGGCGTGGTCCACAGGCCCAGCTGAGGAAACGGCGCGGGTGCGTGTGCGTGCGCGTGCGCTTGTGCACATAAGGTCGGTGCAATGGGCCCCAGCCTCAGGCCTGTGTTTGCTCTGCTATCTACATACGCTTCTCTTTCTGCCACGTGACCAGTGGACCGTCATGCACACTGGTGAGCTACGTGCTCTCCCTCCTTCTTGTTGGCATCAGGCAGCATGACTTCCGAGGTGACTGCTCCTTGATTCTTCTCCACGGCTGAAGCCGCGGGCTGGAGGCACAGAGCAGGCGCGGCCATGGGTAGGGCTTTTGCCAGCAAGTCTAGCAGAGCTCTTCAGGACCCTGGGGCCAGGCTGGTGGTCTTCATTTAGAAGGTGAAGAAATCGACACAGGGCACTCAGGACTGGCTCAAGGGCTGGAGCCACGACTTGAGCCCAATACCATATAGTTCCCTGAGATGGCGTGGCGGCGGGGTGGGGGTGGGTGCAGTGAGGGGCGCATTACCGAGACCCGACAGGCCGCTCCGAGTCCTCGGGGTACAGCAGTTTGGAGAGGAGAGCTTCGGGAATGTCCCTTTTCCCATACCTGGGCGGCGGGGTGGGGGTGGGTGGGCGCATGAAGGTGTGGTCAAGTCAGGCCACGTCCCTGGGTGACCGCAGGGCTCCCGGCCACCCTGCCCCGCCCGCCCGCGCCCGCGCTCACCGCTGCCGGGTGAGCTGGTTAAGGTAGTGGCGCAGCAAGGTGTAGTAGCGGCTGAGCTCCTCCGGGGAGGCGCCCTCACCCGGGGGCTCGGGCTTAGCGGAGTACACGCCCACCATGGCCCCCAGGCAGGCGAGCAGGCCCAGCAGCACGGTCACCTCGGCGGCCCACGGCCTGCGCCCCGACACCATCTGGGGAGGCGGCACGGGAGCGCGGTCACTGCCCGCCGCCGCCACCCC